TCATAGTTTCAAGCCTTTCCTCGAGCGTCTGTGAGAGTTCTCACATGAAGATTTCCGAAAAAATGAATTGATTTGGTGCACCCTGACACATATTTAGAGCAAAAATCATATTTTCAATTTTTTTACAAATAAAGTGGGGATACAATTGGGTCTGCAAACTGTTCCCCCGCTACCCCTGTACACCCACTGGGGGCGCCAATGTATGATTGATTATTGAACATGTTCAACTTCATTAATGCCATTGATTATCTTTCAACAATCTATTTCAGTGCATTACAGATTTTTAAACAGGGAGTGTCTTTTAAAGCCCTGTTTATATGGAAATATTGCCGTACGTTTTCTATTATCTCCTGTATATATGTGCAAATTTTACCATGTGGTCAAATGCATTTGAACAGACGTGCTATGTTTTGGCCAGTCGTACCTTAGTCTCAGAAACAGGATTTTTTTTAAGCTAAGCTTAACAGTAATGGTATTCACAGCTCACCGACGAAATTTGTTCCTTCAAGTCCATGTATGTACATGATTATCCTCGTTTGAAAGCTAAAAAGACGGGTCGTCCTCTCTTGAGAGAAAAAGACATCTATAGAAACAGGAAAAGAAATTTCTAATTTGAGATATTTGTGTTGGAATTATGCGATTTTCGTTTATTTTAGTACTTCTGAAGACTATTTACATATTCAAGATTCAAATCAACCCCAAAAATGGCGCATCTGTCACTGTTTATATGGAAATATTGCCACATGCTTGAATCATCTTCTATATGTATATATGCAAATGTTACAGTGTTGGTTTGTTGTCTAAATAATATGTAGATTTGACTAAATGCATTAAAAGAAAGTTATATTTTACCACAAAGGCGTTTCTAGGAAACATTACGTGCGGAATACAAGCAGGGACCGCAGTATTTTTAAGAGGGCGACCGGCAATTGTTCCATTGTTTCAGTACATAATAGTATAAAAAAAAATAGAAAATGAGGTGGGGGGGGGGGGGGCACCTTTTCCTGGGGAGGCCATATACACATTAAAAGTTTAGGAAACATTATCAAAATCCTTTTAATTGCTCGTTATTGTCGACGCTTACCGCTGTTCGAGGAAACATACAGTTCGAAGTACCGAATGAAAATCCACATCAAGCAAAATATGGAATCAAGAAAAATCCAAAACAGAAACCGAAAATCAATTATATTATCTTGGAATAAATGTATATAGATAACACAATCATATCAGACGGGAATAAAATAAACTAAATGGAGTTTTACATACGACTGGAATAAATACATCTGTGTAAAGTAATATTCAGTTATTCCGCTATTTTGTGTAAGTCGTAAATTTTTTGTGCTCAAATTTGTGAAAACTCTACACCAAAATCTAGAGAAATGTGCCCTTTAACGTATCTGAAACTTGTAACGAAAAAAATCCATCAGTTTTCAAATGCCAAAAATATTTAAAAACATTACGTAAGGGTTTTAAGTTCGTTATGCTTTTTGGAAGCTGATAGAAAACTACTGTACGGATATGTGTAAAATTATGTCTCCTAAGTATTCTAAAGGTTTCAACTAAGAGGCTTGATATCGAGCCATTATAAAGTCAAACAACAAATTCAGTTTGAAAAGGAGATACATAGAGATATAAATAGCATACTTTTGAAATATTTTCAGCTATACTTTACGACATTTTTGATAATGAAAAAAAAAAAAAGGTGTATACCCCTCATTCAATTACATTGTTACTTTGTGCAATCTTAAGGTGACATGAAAGAAGAACGTATTACTTCACAATATCCTTTTAAGTTCAATATTTCGTCAAGGCTGTTCAATTTTCAATTTCATTTAAGAAGTAAGTTTATGAACTTGCGAAAAAATTCTTACCATGCCAATTTTCACGGCTTAAAAAAATACGACAGTAAGTCTTGTTTTCGGTAATTAAAAGAACAGTTGAAGCCAACAAAAATAATGTTGATGGTGACACTTTCTATATATACAATAATTCGTATATAGCTCAAATTTTCTCCGGGGCCAATGCAACATGTCTTTAAAATTATGCTAAACGGACTACACAGTTGATATTTTTTTTAAATAAAGTCATTTTGAATTTCCTTTCTTAAAAACTTACCTCTGTTCAAAACCAGTGTATGCTCATTGGTTCACAAACAGCAAATGGATGACAAAAATGAACCGGCTACGATCCACATTTCGTTTTTAAAGTCCCTTAGCAGATATAAACCTGGATCGGTTGAGTTGTGTTCAGGTGCAAGAAAGTGTTGACCACATCTCAACTACAGCCATTGTTTATATGTCTTGGTGAGCTGTAAACAACGAAAATACTATGCACAAAATGAAACGAAACAATTTTTGTTTATTTAAAACAAATACTTGCAGTTGGTTGAGATTTTAGATGAAATGAAATGAATGGAGTTTTACGTCCTACTTTTCTGGGTTGAGATTTTAAACCAACTCCACTCTTTATATATATCTATAGGTAAAGTAACCAACATTTTATTTAAACAATCACAACTTTTGCAGTATTTTTGATACGATGGTCTTATTACGAATGAGTGTGTGGTTTGGACACGGTGCTTTCAGAGGTAATATACAGCATGTGCAGTAGCGTAGCGAGGATTTCATTGACGAGCACTCGAGCTCCCAAGCGTTCCTTTGCAGGTTTTAGAGAGCACCAGTGAAGTTGAGGGTCAAGGGGGTAGGGAAATTTTCTTTTTTAGAATAACTTTTTATGGCCCGAGGGGGTGGGGGCATAGTATTGGTACGTGCCTCACCCTTCCCTCTAAATATGCCACTGGGCGTGTGATGAGAGGAACAGATCGCCAGCAGCACGTAAAACTAAATTGAACTCTTTTATATTGCACTCTTATTTTCCTAACGATTGGAAAGGAAGCTTTTATACACGCAACATGCTATAAAACTTCAATTCCACTGTTATTATTTCAAAGACTGGAAATGTTATTGCGAAAGACGGTTTACTAACTTAATGGCTACGCAAATTATTTGATTAATGCCAATTTTCTAGCCTAATTTAAAATCAATCTAGAAAACCAGCAATTTCTTCGATTGAAGCTATCGACATTAATAGACGAGTATTTTGACTTTATCGCATACTTTTTTTTATCTTCCCTCGTGATTTAGTTCTGAAATGTTTTTCCTCGCTTATTTGTTCGAGAAACTGCTATTCTCAATTTAGACTGTCCTCATCTCCGGGTCGTCATCTTAGGTCGCGTAAATTCACAAGGGACTCTCTTTCAGATTAGAATACAGTACATATACTCTTTGTTTCTGAGGATTAGATCTATCGATCGGTACTGTATTAAGATGCTATTATACAAATCCATACAATTGTCAGTGACTCAACTAGATGAGTAGGGGCCTGTGGACTGAAGTGGGTCCCCCCTCCCCCGGTATTTTTTTTTCCAGATTATCTTCTGCATTCTAGACATCAAGTCAACGTAATGTCTGTAAATAGAAGATGTAAATAACTTGTTATACCAGTCCCTATATTAATTTAGCCATTGACAATTGAAATAACGAAAAGAACTATATACCCAGTCTTTATAAGTCAACCAAATTTCATCCGCATTTTTATTACCTTTTATTTTTTCTCGACTACTCAAGTTAGGGATTGATTCCCTGAAATAAACGGAACGAAAGGTTGGTCAAATTTAATTAGACAAGGAAATACCGAACCTGTATTTTAATTAGCTGGCTGAAGTTTACCAATTCAACCTCTCCTTGTCAGGAATGTCGGTGATAATAGCACGAAATGAAGTGTCTAGCCGTTTAGATTTGACGATAAACCTGGGAGTTCTGAGTATATTACAGGTCGTATTCGTTACAGATGAAAGTGAATTGTTCCCTTTTTTTCTGCTCCTTATTAATGATGACAATGACATGTTATGTACAATTCAGGCATTTTTAGACTAAGTGTTTACGATTTCATTTCACCCGAACGACCATTATTACGTTTCATCCGATTTACTTTGACAGGAAACTATATATAGTAGAAATTCCGATCTGTGCTGGATAGAACAATTGACTATCGGGTTTGGGAGTAAACGGTCACATCGTGACAATGGCTAACTGAGAGCAACTGGATGATCGCAGATTTCGAAGGCTTACGTCGACAAGATCCAGTTTCTAGCATTTCTATGCCAACTTGAGGCGATTGCCATTTTTTACTTGTCAGTGCGGTCGGGTTAGGTCAACTGAATTCAAATCAGGGACAGGTTGGACCAATTATACCTTAGTCTCAGAAATGGGAACTTTTTTAGTTAAGTTTATCAGTAACAAACACACAGCTTAATTAAATGGGAATTTAAATTAAAGTTGGTTTCATTAATGTTTGTACAGTGAATCTCATTATTGCAGTTTGTTATCAATACCTCTAAATTATGCAACGTAAATTGATTAATTGTTCTTTAAACTTGAGTAAAAACGGAATCCATATCAAGTCTAATCAAGTTGAATTAATAAATAAACAGACCTGTACACGGTCAGGTTCTTTCAAAATCAATAAGGCAAAGTTGTTTTTTCATACCAAAAGATATCCGTGTACTTGTTGTGTAGGTCTTCCATTTTATTGATTGCTGACGAGTAGTCTTGAGTATATCAAACAAAACAATTTCAGTTCTTAATAAGTTTAGATCGTTTAATAAGATGGTAGTATATTCAGCTGCTGTGATCGTTTGTTATGTCTCTTATTACGCCAACCTATTGGCCACTTCAACGTAGTGTCTTTTCCAAACCAATTCGATTTCCCTTCGTCTTAGTGTCTAATACAAACTTATCTTAGCTACGGCTGTGTAAATTAACGCTACGTTACCTTAACACCATGTGCCCATTAAAGGCTAATAAGGTACCAAATCTAATATTGTTTCTGTAAAGCTTTAGGAATAAATCACGCTCTTGGTTGTCTCGCGGTAAATAAGATTTGTGTTGGAAGATCAACTTCGATATTTGGCTCAGTTGGTGTCAGTGTTCCAAATCGCAATGGAGTCGATTTTTCAGGCAATACGCCGTTTTTCGTACTGGAAAGCTGTGAAATGCGAATTCTTACTGACGATGTTTTATGTGTTAATTGGATGTGCGTCTACCATTCCGACTGATATACACAATAAACAATCCGTCAACGAGTTAAAAGTGGCGTTTGCGTTTGGGATTACCTGTCTCACATTAATGCAATGTTTTCTTCCAATTTGTGGGCCTGCTCAAATGAATCCAGCAGTGACCATTGCTATGTTATGTACCCGCAGAGTGCACGTGATCACTTCTTTCATCCATATACTTGCCCAATGTGTTGGTGGACTGGCTGGGGCGGGGATACTTTACGGTGTGACTCCAGCTCGAAAGCATGGCCACTTAGGTGTGACGTTTGTTCATAATGATATTGGTCGTGGTCAAGCGTTTGGAATAGAATTCATAACGACATTTATCATGACATTTGCCTATTATTCAGGACATGATAATCCGGGAATATTTGGAGGATTTCAGGCTGCTCCTGTTGGTCTTTCAATCATAATGGGACACACATTAGGGGTACGTATATATAATTTGTTTGTTTCATTTTCTTGTTAACCTTCTACTAGTTGCAATCAGGCGGTCACTCATTCCACCACCAATCTGTACTAGACTCACCGCACTTATAAATTCTTTGAGGTTTCAAATACTTGGATACATTTGACATTTTTACCTTACAAAGGACTTCACGACTTCGTGTGACAGCCGATTTGTTTTAAACGTATGTTATGTTTTGTACCATGCTTTTCTTTGGACTATAACACTCTGTGACAATCCTTTGCTTAGTCTGGGACTCGTGGTGCTTAATGGTGAAATGAACCAAGATCATTAATTGTACTGTTGAGTGTTAAGTGCGTTTGGAGCACTCAATGTCAGGTATTTTACCTTAATTTACCACTTCATTCATGCCACTTTGTTATTTTGTCAAAATTCTTAATCATACCAATAGAATGGAAGCAATTCAATTTCGAATTTTTCAATCGTGTTTTCCCACAAATACAATTGATCCTTGGTAATTCTCAGGTGACGAGTTGACGCAACTCCACAGTGTGGTAAATAATGTTGAATCGTCTTTGTAGTCATAATTGTAGCTTTCAATTAATGAGTTGTTTGCCATATACAGACTAACGGAAATGTCTGCAGAACCTGAGACATGAAAGAGGTTGCCAGAGTTATGATAGCTTCTGACATCTGCTTATTTCTTCAGTTATTGAAAACATAAAAATTGGATTATAGATGGCGTGTCGAAGAATGATAAATACCAGAGTAGGTTGGAAATTGTCTAAGAATTTTGAACTACCAAACTGACATCTTCAAGGGATATCTGGAAATTGTAGCCAACAAGATCATAATTCAACGTGGTATGTTAAAAAATAAACTGGGCCCCGATGTCTTCGCTTATCGCTACCCTTATAAATCTTTCGATGGAAATGGGGACCAATTAGACCTTAATGTTTCAAAACGCTATCGGAACTTTGGAAGAGACGTTTGACATTAGCCATAAAAAGTACACAATAGCAGTATGACGTGCACCATTATTTTTTCGTTGTCAATTCATTGTTAAAGTCACATTAATTTGCCTACTCGAGTTTAATGTCATTCTTTATTCTCTCTGAGAATCAAGTAAAAAGTCTTGGAAATGCTATTCACGTCAACCTTGATACAGATCATTAGCTTTGATTTAGCGCACGATCTTGTCTAAATTTAACTTTTGATTTATCTTACATGGTAGGAGTCACGTAAAGGTTGTTCATAGCTTGTTCTCTTGGGAAGCATTATTACTACCATCACGAACTCTCAAATTCATTTCATTTGTAACTTTCAACTTTCAAGTATATTATATCTCCAAAGAATGTCAGAAATATTTTTTTTAATTACAATTTATCAAACGTATACCACAATGCTTGCGGCTGTACTTTCAACTGATGTTGAAAACGGAACAAGCTTTGAAAATAATTTGGGCGCAAAGCAAGAAAGGTTTTTTTAGCTTAATTTCTAAATTTTTGTTGTTGTTATTATTATTATAATAATTGTCATTATATTCATAACTATTATATTTATATTATTATTATTATTATTATTATTATTATTATCATTATTATTAACATTATTATTTTTATTATCATTATTATTGGTGAAGAAAGCTTTTCCTTTCCTTTCAAGGACGTCACTTTTTAATTCAATTTTACGTATTTATCATCTAGTACTACAAATTACAATTGAATGCCAACATATATTGTGTGACATTTAAATGACAAAGTCTCCCAAGCGTTTACAGAAATATTTACTAACTTCTCTTACGTAATGAAATCGAATCCCTTAAGAACTATGGAACTATTGTAATTGCTCTATATACAAATGTCCTTTATCATCAAAACATGCTTTGAAAGCTTTTTACACAATCACAAACCATCAATTACTCGCAAATAGACAATAGCTGTATTACAATGTTCAACTGTAAAACCTGTATCTGGGAAACACGATTTTTCCATTAGACAAATGAACATTTTATATTATTTATTACCCATTTTGTTTGAAAGCTAAATTACATATCAATGAAAAAGCAATACTCGGGAAATTGATAACAAGGAAACAAAGTAAGCTTCACTTAGCTCCTGATATTAGCTCCTGCAGTTTGATATAGCAGAGCGCAGTTTTGATATAGCATAGCGCAGTTTGATATAGCATAGCGCAGTTTGATATAGCATAGCAGAGTTTGGTAAAGCATAGCAGAGTTTGATATAGCATAGCGCAGTTTGATATAGCGTAGCAGAGTTTAATATAGCATAGTGCAGTTTGACATATAGCGCAGTTTTATATAGCATAGCACAGTTTGATATAGCATAGCGCAGTTTGATAAAGCATAGCAGAGTTTGATACAGCATAGCACAGCACACTTCATTGTAATGCAGTTTGATATACTATAGCGCAGTTTGATATTCCATAGCGCAGTTTGATATACAATAGTGAAGTTTGATATAGAATAGTGCAGTTTAATAGAGCATAGCAGAGTTTGATATAGTGCAGTTTGATAGGCCTATACTCTAGCGCAGTTTGATATTCCATAGCGCAGTTGATAAACCATAGTGAAGTTTGATAAAGCATAGCAGAGTTTGATATAGCATAGCGCAGTTTGATAAAGCATAGAAGAGTTTGATATAGCATAGCACACATCATTGTAATATAGTGCAGTTTGATATACTATAGCGCAGTTTGATATTCCATAGCGCAGTTTGATATACAATAGTGAATTTTGATATAGAATAGTGCAGTTTAATAGAGCATAGCAGAGTTTGATATAGTGCAGTTTGATAGGCATATACTCTAGCGCAGTTTGATATTCCATAGCGCAGTTGATAAACCATAGTGAAGTTTGATAAAACATAGCAGAGTTTGATATAGCATAGCGCAGTTTGATAAAGCATAGAAGAGTTTGATATAGCATAGCACACATCATTGTTATATAGCGCAGTTTGATATTCCACAGCGCAGTTTGATAAAGCATAGAAGAGTTTGATATAGCATAGCACACTTCATTGTAATATAGTGCAGTTTGATATTCCATAGCGCAGTTTGATTTACCATAGTGAAGTTTGATGTAGAATAGTGCAGTTTGATAAAGCATAGCACACTTCATCGTAATATAGTGCAGTTTGATATACCATAGAGCAGTTTGATATTCCATAGCGCAGTTTGATATACCATAGTGAAGTTTGAGGTAGAATAGTGCAGTTTGATATACCTTTGAGCAGTTTGATAGAGCATAGTGAAGTTTGATATAGCATAGTGCAGTTTCATATATCATAGCGCAGTTTAATATAGCGTAGCAGAGTTTGATATAACATAGCACACTTCATCGTAATATAGAGCAGTTTGATATACCATAGCGAAGTTTGATGTAGAATAGTGCAGTTTGATATAGCATAGCATAGTATGATATGGCATAGCACACTTCATTGTAATATAGTGCAGTTTGATATACCATTGAGCAGTTTGATATAGCATAGTGAAGTTTGATATAGTATAGTGCAGTTTTATATATCATAGCGCAGTTTAATATAGCATAGCAGACGTCATTGTAATAAAGCTCAGTTTGATATAGCATAGTAAATTTGATATAACATGGCAGTTTGGTATAGAATTGTTTTATTCTGACATAGCATAGCATCAGTTTGATATGCTATAGCAGAGTTTGATATAATAATGGAAAATATTTTGATATTGTATCGTTTTATTATGGTAATCGGCGAGTGCCATTATCTTTTGGAAGATAATCATGACCTTTCTCACTATAGAAGACTGATTAGGACATAATTCGTATTCCATGGGGTAACATTGTACTAATATGATTATCAACGAAACAACGTTCACTCTAAGCTTGAGTATGGTAATCTAGTAACTCGGTTATCTATGTAAACAAGAGATGTGAAGTTCCCAAATGGAAATTTGATATGATTGTGCTAACAATTGAAGCAAAGGGATGCAACAATCTATTTACAGATGCTCAACGACCATAGTGACTGGTTAGATCCAATCGTATCTACGCCGTCCATTGTCTGACAATAACCTCGTATGCAGCTGGAATAAAATCCTCTTTAATTATTAGGCGAATGTTACATTCGCCACACATCTTATAAATCTGAATAGATGGGTTTGGAAGCGTGTTAATAGGATTGCCGAAATAATGTTAATAATAATAGCTTTGGATTTATTCTCCGATAGCCGAGTTCATAAAACCAGCCGCAGAGTGGTATTAAGTGATCCGGAAATGTAGAGTATAATCTGTCTGAAAGGTCGTTCCAACACATTTTGTCATGTAACAAAAAAAACATGATAACGAGAAAAGCCTAAAACAACAATGTTTTAAATTGTAATTTAATATCATTGGCTGAAATACCGATTAAGTAAATTTCCACCTAAATCTGTTTTGTATCACTCTCTGACACGGCATCTATAATCCAATTTTATATATTCAATAATTGAAGGAATAAGCAGATGCTATCTTTGCTCAAAGCTATTTTCTCGTCTTGGATTCTACGTAAGATTCGTATTCAACATAAGTGTCCTTGCAGTTAGTCTGTGTAAATGCAACATAACTTCATTTCACTTTTATCAATAGTTGTAATTGCACCTAATACATGTACAGTCATAATGTTTCGTTATCTGAATAAATCACACCATTTGAAGCTCTTGAATTTAATATCTTCTTGAAATCAGTTTGAAATTATCGATTTAGAATAGCAGTGAGCCAGTTCCGCCATAATTTTAAGTTATTGCTATGTATCATGCTTATGTAGAAGAAACAAGATATCTTTTCTTTCCGTTACAATTTCTGAAAGATCCCGTCCATTATAGATAAGTGTAGACCTGAGAAAGATTGTATTATTTACCCTAATGTTCAATTCCATAACATATTTAAACTATATTTAAAGGGGTATTCCGCTTTTTTGTAAAACATTCAATTATCAAAAACGTCGTAAATTATACCTGAAAATATTTCTAAAGTATGCTATTTATATCAATGTACCTTCTTGATCGAACTGAACTTGTTAATTAAAAACGATAATTTATAGCGCTATGCTATATCAAACTACACTATGGGTATATCAAACTGAACTATATTACAATGAAGTGTGCTTTGCTATATCAAACTCTGCTATGCTACATCAAGAGTACTAATTGTTAATGAAGCAGTTCGACCTAGTTTTGGTGTTGGGCTTCATAATGGCTCGATATTATTAGTTGTGACTTTTAGAAAATGTTAAGGGTCACATTTCTCTGGATTTTGGTGTATAGTTTTCACAAATTTTAGCAAAAACAAATTTTGACCCACAATGAAAAGCGGATTGCCCCTTTAACGTTTCTTGACCAACCTGCACTATTGTCATGACTGAGTGCAACTAAGTGATGAACGTTATTAACAATATGGGAAAAAAAAACACCAGCTTCAAATAAACAAGAAATGTATTCAAATTTCTCCCAGTGCACACAGGTATACTGTATAATGTTTATTTAATATTTTTGTTTAAAATAATGTGAATAGAGGAATAATCCACGTTACAAAATATAGTTCTTTAGGTGTTAGTTATCTCCCGTGGAGACAGGAGAAGTCTAGATGTCAGAGACTAGTAAGATGTCAACAATGGAGACGGAAATTAAGCTGACAAAGGAAAAATTTAACATTTCGTTTCCAATTAGAGAAATTGCAGACCATATACGCTGGGCATGATTGCATAAGTGTTTTGCCCGCAGGATATGGAAAAAGTCTAATTGGTTCAGATGCTGCCATGGGTCTTATAAAATTTATTGTCACATGACCTAATATTTGAAAGGAGGCCGATTTATCTGTCAGCGAGAATGGCCGATTTTTACACGATTGGCCAATAAATGTGAAATTATACCATGTGGTGCGCGATTAACAGTTAGGCCTATTATATTTTGGTTTTATACTTTACACTACCTGCATTTCCTGCATATAACAAGTAATCCTTCTTTATGTAAGATGACCACGTGACCGTATTGTACATGCCGTAATGATGTACAATGTTGTTTCAAATTTCATATCACTTGAATACCTGCAGTCTAATTAAAACTAGACATAACTTCTGTTCGTATTTTATTAGTTTCGTTTCGAACGTTTAGCTTTGTACATAACCACTACAGTAAGGTCTAACACTGCCCTTCTTGATTTTTCATTCTGTTAACCTTCGCTTGATGTCTGTTTTAACCAATCACGTGGCTGCCCTTTCCAGCGACGGGGTCATGTGATTTCGTTACATTTCTCCGCGCATTGGATCTCATTAAAGAAATATTAGACGAAAATGGTTGGATTCTTATACAAAAAAACAACCGGAACCGGTATAGCTTAATGCTGCAGCAGCACACGGGTACCCTTTAGCACACTCTGTCTTACATTCTTTAAGGTCGTCCACAAAATCATAATCATCAGTTTTTACGAATTTTGTCTTTGTATACGTGTAACAATCTAAAAGATAAACCAATTTCCATCAAAATGGAATCACAGTCAAAAGTCCAAATTTAACCAAAATCGAAGTCTTTATCTTATTCACAAGTCAAAATCTGACTGAACCTTAGTTTTAAATGATTGTTTCTTCTGTAAAGCTTGAAAATTTCTAATGGGTTGTGAAACTAACACGCTGAATAGAAGGGGTAGGGGCATCCGAGCGTCCCTTTGTTGAGAGAGCAAGTCATGGTGGAGGGTCAGGATTGCCTCTCCCTGGTAAAGTTTCTAATGTCAGAAGCCGGGGAATACATCTACTTCGATTTTGGAGGTGATATTAGAACAACTTTTGCATTTTTTTTTTTGTAGCGTTGGGTGTAGATGTGGAGGAGGGAGGGGGTCACAGCCAAAAAACCTATTAATTTATCTAATTTCAGATCAGAACAGAAGAATTATACCCACTAGCAATTCCAGAACGTTTATTCCTTTTTCTAAATGAAGTATTTGTTCCATCCTAGGCCTGTAGCCTACATTTAGAAGAATCAGCCCTCCCTTTCCCTAAATCTTTTAGATTAACATCTTAGATCCCCGTGTATTAAAACGTTCATAACGATCCCCCAATTATGGTTTTTAATGCACGTACAAGCAAATTTAGAAGGGATTCACCGATGGAGTAACAGGGGTTGAAAAATATACGGTTGATATACGCTGATATATGAAACAGATGAAACGTATTATTACGTGTCATTTCGACTTGACTTTGTAGAGACCACCTGCATCTTCCAATTCACAATTCATCTCGATACGATCTTATAACATCTTATTTTTGTGCATAAATCATAATAATGATACTAATAATGATAATCAAGTACGTGACCACAAAAAGAAAATACATATACACTAGCAGATTTGTATGTAATGGACAAGTTAGTCTTAACTGATCAAGTACATGACCACAAGTACAGACAGTATCAATATGTATCAAATGCAATTTTGAATTTTTCGACCTAGGCGTTGGAACTTCCGGTTTCTCAAAATAATCTTGAAAATTGAAAACGAGAGTACATGACATGTACTCTCGTTTTCCATTATACTCTCGTAAACATTGTAGGCAAAATGATACAAAAGTTAAATTCTTTTATCGTTTGAAATAACTAACACTATAGCAGCTGTGATATGTCATTGTGATTAATACATTAATTTGATATATTTATTGAACTATAACTACGACATTTGTCAAGTTATCCAATTATTTAATCAAATATACATCTTTCTTTTTCTAGTGGCAGTTCACTGGTGCCAGTATGAATCCTGCAAGATCTCTCGGTCCAGCTATTGTGTGTAATGAATGGTCGGATCATTGGGTGAGTGTTATAAATAACATGAAGAGAATTAATCTCCTTAAAGGGATTGTAGTAGACTAAAAATCAAATGATAAAAGTTAATTGCAGCTACGCGTATTACTTTTCAGAATTGAAACTCAACTTAGGGATAATCCACATTTAAAAAGAAACATAGACATGAAAATGAAACGTTAATGCACGAGGGCTGGCTGAAATGTCATCGGCTCTTTTATGTTGGAGATGTTCCAAACTATATTAAGATCGCTGATTTTTGAGAATTTTCACCATGACAAAAGCACAATTTTTCATAATTATTGGTTACTTTACAAAGCTGAATTATTATCCATGTCCATACAAAGCTGAATTATTATCCATTTCTATACAAAGCTGAATTATTATCCATGTCTATACAAAGCTGAATTATTATCCATGTCCATACAAAGCTGAATTATTATCCATATCTATACAAAGCTGAGTTATTATCCATGTCCATACAAAGCTGAATTATTATCCATATCTATACAAAGCTGAGTTATTATCCATGTCCATCAAGCGATTGTCGGTCCCGTGCCACATACGGTACCATAATACAGTCGAGGGGTAGGCTAGACTTACGAAGTTCTACGTTGATGTGAAAAACCTACCGATCTTTAAAAGGGACAGGCTTGCCATCCTTTTGACCAATTGTACTAAAGTCTCATAATCTGGAAATGGTGAACCTGTTGAAAAGAAAATTCAAAATATGTCTTCAAGATTAAAAGCCAAATATCACAAAAGATCAGACAGAACCAGAATTAGCTCCTGTATATAATTAACTCTTGACTCTAGAAACATAGATGTCAAGCTATAGGACATAATTAGTTGAAAAAAGGATTGTCTCAACGATTACCATTGGTAATTATTTTATAATTCAATTACCTTGTCTCTGTAATTCAATTTTTACTTATCATACAGCGAAATTAATTTTTATAACCGTCTGGCTATTTTCCTTTCGAGGCCTTCATGTTCCATCAGGTTATAATTTTTCGACAAAAGAAATATTTGATCTTGGGTAATGACTTGTATATTGCTCTAAACATGGGTGGGTGTGTTAAAAAGGAGCGTTTGTATGTCACACAAATAGTTTCTATTTACGCAAATTTAATTTCCCATTTTGTTCGACGTTTGTGGTTCCTGTACTTCCAGATCTTGACCATATTTTCGCCATGTCCTTTTGATGTGAAGGCTATTTGCGACATCAATCATGTGCTTTCCGTCGTTGAACATCAAGCTGCTACCAATCGTTACAGTGCATTTCCATTTCACGTTACATGATTCTCTGTGAAGCGTACAGTTTATTTCAAACCATTGGCGAATTTTTAAAAACGAAAATTTGATTCTACTAAGAAAAAGTGAAGAAAAGTTGGCACGAAAAGACCTCTTCTGAAAACTAACAATCTCATTAATTGACTATATTTCTTCAAATGTCTCATGTGCGTGTGGATTTTCCTCTCCTACATTTTATCTTCTCGTAATCGAATCGATTTTTAGAGAAAATACAATTTGGAAAAGGAATTTGCGATATTACTGTGATAGGGAAATACTTTAGCTACGATTGAAAATAATTCCATAGGGACGTTAATTGCTTTTGACTTGAAACTTGGAAATTTGAAGTCGTAAAAACTTGTACCGGAGTACTGGGTTTGAAAACTTTGAAGACGACTCTTGTCTTAATCTATGTTCTTCTTTGACTTGCTTTTTCCTTTTTCCATTAATATTTTAGATAAGGGTATGAAAATGTCATTTCATGCGAGATAAAGAGCTAGACACAATTTTCAAATGTTTATAAAACTATTTGAGAAGAGAATATTATAAGATTGAAGAAAAGAAACTCATTTCTGTTCCAGACTCTCGTAAAGTGTTCATAAACCATCCAAACGATTGGAGTCGGACACACAATAAAATATTTCTATATCCAATAAGATGGTCTCCCATGGTTAAATCGTAATTCTCCATTTTGTCCTTGTACCATTACGAGTCAAATTATGTGAGGGTAACCTTGGTGTTTTAAAAACATGGCATCTCGGGTTAAAGGGACAGATTTGCTATTTTTGGGGTTTGATTTGGGTCTTGAATATTATGTAAACAGGCTTCAGAAGTACTAGAAATATACAAAAATCGCATATTTCTTCCAAAAATACCTCAAACTAGGCATTTCACTTTCTTTTTCTATATATGCCTTTTCTATATATGCCTTTTCTATAGATGACAGTGTCTCAAAAAATGACGAGTTGTCATTTTATCATTCAATCGTGGATAATTCTAGACATACATTGATTTGAAGACTAAAATGTCGACGGTGAGCTGTGAAGACTATTACTGATTAGCTTAGCTAAAAGATTCCCATTTCTGAGACTAAAGTTGGTCAAACGAATGGCGAGTCTGTCGAGTATTTAAGGGGTGAAGCCGACACCGGGTCAACACCGGCTGTACTGTATTTTTGGTAGTAATGATCCAAATTCGAGTTATATAGTCTGCTTAATTTCAAGAATTCGTATCACTTTGAGAATGTAATATCCTACTTCCAATTCGCTCATATGTCAACTAAAACATGCGTATATGTAAACCGCAAGAATAGATAGCATGCGGACTTTGTTCATTAACCAATTATTCGACTATTAACGTCAATTAAAGGCTATTTAGCTCATAGTTTAATTCCCATTACTTTCATTTCATCATTTCAGGTGTATTGGATCGGTCCGGTATTGGGTGCTATACTTGGTGGTATTACCTATGAATATACAACAGGGGGTGGCCCAGAAATCAAACATCTAAGACGAACCAGCTCTTTGGGAATGATGAACACTGAGACAAGAGGTAGCAAAGAGAGTGTTGATTTACCAACGGAATTAACGTTTACAGTTCCTGCAACTCCTGATCCACAAGCTTAAAAATTTACAATAATTTTAAGTGATTTTTCCGAACGATTGGCTCCTGTGCAAAAATACAATTTTTTGTTGTCTTACACAATAATGACGATTGGGATATTCTCAATATGCTTAAAATATAAATCGTGCTGTTTCGTTTATATGAGTCCACTTTCATTCTTAATCTGACAAAGTTCTTCTTTAAATAGTGTTCAGTCGAATTTCGTCCAATGCAGTGAAACTATGGCACTACGGGTTAAAGTTTAGCAATTAATATCCCAGAATTCCTCTTACGTAGAAAGGAGATATTTTATTGGTCGTTGGACGTATAACAATTTTTTCAGATCATGGATGGCATAGTGGGTCAACTACGGAAAACACCAAGACTTTCATTTTGATCGAAATTGTGAGATTCCACACCCGTGTTGAATATTCTTAATCATTCCATGTGATTTTGTTCTGCAAAAAATATATGAGAAAATTATGTTGATACATTAGTTAAAATAAGACGAAATAGACGTTTTCACGTGTTATACAACTGTCAGAAAAGCTTGATATTGAAAGAAGATCTTGGAGCAGAAATAAACTCTATAAAGCTCATCTCAAGTCTCCGACAGGTTTCAGGCAACCAATCCTATTCAGCACAGCTAATTTTTGGGTTAATTTTCTTAAACTGGACTCTTTTAGTGAGTGCGCAAAGCAAGCGAACTGTCATAAAAGAAGCGTGAATTTGACAACGAGTTACTCGTTATATTATATACTTTCGTATCAATGTTATTCATTTCTGACGCAGTAAAAGATGTAAAATGAGAGGTCAAAGGTTTTTTTTCCTTCAATATGGTATTTTTTTTAAAAAAGAAAAACATATGAATAAAGCAAGTCTATAGGTAACCTGCCAAGTTAAAAACTCAAAGTATTTGACAGAATACTAATGCAACCCCGTAATGTAAACACTATGACAGCGTTTGAACGCTTGTTTTCCGGCCAAAACTGACTAATAACATTGGTGATCGGGGTGGCAAACCGTTACAGGGTTTGTAAAGATTTTTTTTTTCTCAATTTTTATGATTATCGGGGACTCCAATAGCATAAGTTTGCACCATTCCAATTCTCCGTCGGATGTCTGTTCCTGCAATTTCACCCAAACTAAGTGTTTGATGACGTCACTAATTGCCAGAGCCGTATATGATATTTTCCGATTATTGACGTCAATTACTTTGTTTTAGTGGGATTGCAGGAACAACAGACGTTTGATTTAAAATTGGAATGGTCACGACTATTACGTGACAGTCACGTGATTTATAATATTAAAAATGAAAAATAAATGAAATTAAATGAAATGGAGTTTTACGTCCTACTTTTCGGCAAATGAAGACGGGCAGAGCCATGCAGGGTGCAATGAGGGCAATTTTGCCTGGATGACTTATTCAAGGTCATCGGCCTATCGCACGCCGATCGAGAATTGAACCCACAGCCGCCATTTGCTCAACGTAACGTCATGTTCAGAACCAACGCTTTAACCGACTGTGAACCTGACAAATAATCAATCCCGAACAAGGGCAGGTAACTCCCAATGTAGCTTTCTGAATGTTTCCCTTTTTAAAATGGCACAAAAATCAATCAAGAAGTTTAGAGAATCTTTTCGCCATATGCAGGATATTTTGAATTGCAATGTCGGCCCACTTTTGCCTTATGCTTGTAGGCTTATAGGAAAAACCAAATAACAAAATATCTAGATTTGCTATTCAGTTTAATAAAATATAATATTGTATAGCATTATATCAGTAAGAAACTTGTTTTTTCATATGAAAATAATATGTTGTATTCTATTTTATTATGGTCACACATATCATGGAAATCGTTCAGCTCGATCGATTATTTAACAATTATTAATATTTTACATCACGTGACTGCCACGTGATGGTCGTAAAAAAGAGAAATGATAAAAGAGAAGATGTAACGTACAATTGTAAAATGGCAAGTTAATGTCAAACAGAAGACGTTTCTTGTCATATATGCAAAATGTCTGTTGCGAAAAAGGAATTTTCATTGAAAACTTTGGTCATTTTTCAGTTGACTTTGACTTAATGCACATTGACTTTAATTATGACTGTTTTTTCCTTCCATATGTGCAAATTGATGCTATCAGTGTCCCTTATACAATTTTTAACAAACCTCTTTACAATCCCATTAAGTGATAATCAACTAATCCCTTCAATAACGGACGAATTTATACCACATCTATACTGTAAGATCCAATAAGACAAATTGACGGAAACCATCCAGTCATACCTCTTGTGAAATGTCCGTAGGGTTAAAACGAAATTCATGGAAAAACAACGCCTGAAATATAAATGAAAAAACTATTAACCTTTTTTATAACCCTACGGACATTTCACTATAGTCGTGTAGAGCCGACCGGACGTACCAGATAGCTGTCTTTCCAATTTTCTAAATGAAGTCTAACACACTCTTCTCCGGATTTCAATTGAATTGAAATTATCTGGAGTTTTGTGTCTCACTTCACCTTATTGGACACATGAAGTGTGAAATGAGGGAAATTTTGCTGGGACAGCGGCATTACGAAAGACGAGAAGTTTTTTCCATGTCTGCCCCTCCGACCTGTATCAAGGAGATCTTTCAAATCTAAGACGAGTGCAGTTATTCGAGGAAAAGTCAATACGAAATGAGCATAATTATATATAGGCTAAGTATTTCGATTTTGTAAAATAGGTGGCGAAATAATTCAAAAGCCGTCAATTTCACTTTATACCAACTCAAATACTTGTTCACGAATTACTTTACTCATAATTCGTCTTGAGCGATGCTTCTTCACAAAACATTTTCTTTGATACATTCATGTAGCTGGTAGATTCATTGTAAACTAAGACGAACATGTTCAATATTAGATATTATATTCTACCCACATTAACAAGAATATAACTCCATTGAAAACACTGTGGGATATAAAAGGGAATTATTAGAGTAAACAAAGAAGTGGATAGAAAAATAACATTTTGTTAGAATCTGAGAGGAAGGAGCACGCGTGCGAGAAAAACGAACATCGATTGTCTGTGACCTTGTTACCCAGATTTGGGTATACCAATGCCAATTGAGAAGCTTCTGAGACAATTTTATGATGTTTTATTTGATGACGTGCAAGAGATAATTGCATTTTTCCAAAACTTCATGAGTTGGTCGATGCTTTTCTTAGAGGTATACTCGTATTTTACATATTTTCTGTAATAGAAATCAGACGTTCATTTCTCCAACTAGGATGTACCGCATAAATTGGCTTTCAACGTCACCTTCTCATATTCTCTTGCAGTCATTACCAATATTATGACGTCATAAATAATAACTGCTGATGGGAAAGTTAATAACGCCCTGAAGCTGAAAGTGGCGTTTTTGCTTTAAAAAACACGGAACGGGACTGCAAAGCTTTCACCGAACCCCGTGGTTCTCCTATGGACGAGGGTTTCCATGAGATGGCACATAGGGGGAACGATTAGTCAACCAAGGATGCCGAGAGCCTATCACATCCCTAAATGGAAAAAATTGTTGTAGTAGGCCTACCATATTTGCTTATTGAACATGCAGTCGATTATATAAGACAGGAAAAAGAGGCACACTCACTTTGTTACAGAAATTACACCAACAGAATTTCCTCTCTTTACCTTCATACCAAAGTAGCATAGTGATGTGTATACGTCTGCAGCTCTTATGTGGAAGATTGAGTGATACAAGGGGAATAACATCGTAATTCAAAAATTGTATAAATCCTCAGACTACAAATAATTCTTCAGTTTGCACGAATGCAATATTATTTCTCTTGATGAATTTGGTGAATTACCTTACGTATCTTCAAACTTCAGGAACCGCTTTGAAAATGAAATTAATGTTTCAACCCTTCATATGTAAATATTTAGTTTGGCTCTTAAAACTTAGTCGCAGTAAGAAGACATTTTTCAATGACCTTGCTATGTTATGACAGTATTAGTGTTGCTCAGTCTTGGTAACATTGACAAAATGCAGAAAACTCGTTGGTCTTACAATGACCTAGGTCAGAAAGATTAAAATGTCCTTTTGATGAATAACATAAAAGTTGTCATTTAGATTTTTTTTTCAAAAGAAAAGGTACGCTAACAAATTGTTTTGTATTATGTTTTTCAAAATTGTACTAAAAGAGGTGGTTTGTAAAAACAGTAAGGTTTTGTGTTGAAGTAATTAGAAAATGTGTATTTTAGTTATTAAAAACCGCTGCCAGTTTGCGTATGTAATTCTATCCAGCACGATATTACTTAGCGATTCAGAAGCTAGTAATACCTAGTGTGTAAAATCATGAAAGCGGTACAAATACATCAATCGATTGCCGAGGAAATATCAATATCAATATTTTTAATTTAAAATATCATATCTTAATGAGTATTTGATGGATATTTTATTAGAGGGTGATTTTTCTTTTTAATTATATTTCTGTGTAGTATAGATTTTTTAAGAATTGCCACGCCCGAGTCTCCTCCTGACTAAAGATTTATCCAACGTATATAGATAACGTTATACATTATGTTTCGAGGGGAATTTTGCCTGAACAGTGACATTGGTCTATCTTATTACGAGATCCAGCTTTAAGTGTACAGATGCGATATTATCTTTGAAGATCTTCTTTGATAAGTGTCACACATACAGGAAACATAACATGCAACATTTATGTAAGTATTGTCATTTTGATTTGGTTACGTTATGTAACTATTAAGATGGTTTGGGTTTTAATTTTGTTCCTGTTTTCAACATTTCAGCTTACCCTTTTATGCCAGACACCCAAGGGAACTCTTTTAACCCACTTTCGTGGTTGGCCGTGGTCGGTGGAAGGTTGTATTGGTAACTGAACGACTCCATGCTGCTCTGTTGCGTAACTGATGTCAATTCTTTTACTTGATCTTAATCGTCGTAAAAACTGTTAAGCTACAGGGTGGTATGCGCTTTGAATTTAACTTTAATATAAGACCACCCACCTGAAATATCTCCCAACTTGGATTAGTATAAATGCATATTTCCATGATTTACCTTATTGATTAGTATAAGCGGTGGCTGCCTTGATATCGGCTGTAAAATGCGAACATGAATATTTGACAGGTTATGTTAAATGAAGCGGCATTTTTCTATTAGAATTCAACTGAAGCAAGACGTCCTTAGTTTGTCGTTCATTTATTTCAGGCTGCTACATTATATGACATTAAAATGGGCGAAAAAGTTGAAATTAACGTTAGTGGAAGATGTTACCAAATCAGTCGTGAGTTATTAGAACCTTTCCCTCATTCAACATTGGCGGTAAAATGTAGAACGAACGTAAACCAGACGCAGCCTATATTTATTGAACGACCACTTCCTGCGTTCGAGTCGGTTCTTGAATATTACCAAACCGGAAGTCTCCATGCTCCAAAATCTCGATGCTACGCTTCCTTCGTTGAAGAGCTTTCCTATTGGGGATTTAAAGAATCGGACATTTCAGTTTGCTGTCAAAGGAAACTGGCATCATTCCGATCGGATCATAAAAATATGGACAAGTATGAGAAGGAGGAACGGCGGATAAGAAGACAGTATGCAGAAAACAATTGTTATGCTAGTTGTGTATCCAGTGAAGTCAGATCTAAAATATGGAATTGTCTTGATAATTTTAACTACAACATCGCTTCTAAGGTATATAAATTAGGGGAGAATCATCCACCTGGGATTAATTATCCCAAAGGGTTAATTTTGAAGAAAAAAAACAATTTGAGGGGAGGGGGTAATAAGCGCTTTTGTAGGGAAAGCTTTAGAAAAAATCACGAAATACTAAGGTTTTTTAGAAAAGGAGAGTAATGCAATTGATCAAGGATACTGAGAGGTGAAATAAAAAGAAAAGGGTTGAAAAACCATCCCCTACTACATTCAATTTTTCTTGGGGGAAATTACGTCAGTTCAATGTTGGTATCAAAAAGAATAACACAACTAACCGGAAGTATGTAATGGCGTGCTAATAGTTATACAATAGATCACATATTTCCCTACTTAAGTCTTCAATTATCATCAAATATAAGATCAATATATCATAGAGTAATATAATAGTGTAGGAAAGGATGTCATCTTATTTTATTTTCTTATCAATTTGAAGTAGTCTATTAATCTTGTTGTTATTATATAGACAATCGGACTAATGATAGTGAACCAGTTTGGCAATAATAACCAAGGAAAGTACAATTGCAAGAAATTCAATTGATTATCAATTGAGTACTTGCCGATTTATTAAAAATAAATTACTGAAAATTGCAGTTTGATCCATATCATTGATATAGGTTGTTGTTTTTTTCTTTCGAGCGGTGGCATGCGTTTTTATCGACGTAAAGTTGGTCATATTAGTATTATGATCAAAGCCGAAGGATTCTGTTTGTAACAAATTTTTGAATTATTGCAAATGGAAGCTCTAAGTGTACACGCCACTCATACAAAGACTTCTTCACAATCCCTTTAAGTATATGGGTTTTTTAAAGTAACCATCCCATAGATCACATGTTGGTTATATTCAAAGACACGGCAAGTTCATTCGCATGCTGAACTATGCCAATTAGAGATAGTACACATCGCCACGATACAGAGAAAACTACGCAATCTTGACAGTGAGAGAGAGAAAAAAAAACAGTTTAATTATCCGAGTCTATATTAAAACTATGAAAGTGACAGATTCGCCATTTTCGGGGCTTGATTTTGATCTCGAATATCTGTTAATAGTCTTCAGAAGCAGTAGAAATGTAAATCAAATTTTTCTTTCTGTATCTATATACGTATTTTTCTATATGCGGCAAAGTCGCAAGAAATGACAAGTCATGTCGAACTTGTCCCTTTAAGCCTAAAGGCCATACGAATCATATCAGATATCTGAGAATTCCCAATTGGGACGTTATCTTTAAATTAGCTGTATATGATAGATATAGTATCTATCTATTTGAACAGTGAATTAAAAGCTATATTGATCTAGATTATTTCAATTATAGAAATTAAAGATTGTTGCATGACAATTTGTCACCGGAAATTTGGTCATATAATAATTTGGCAAAATGTGTCATTTTTATAGAATAATTTCCTAAATAACAATAAACGTGATCAAATGCTTTTACAAATTTAGTTGTTTCGTTCCGTTGTATGGAATTGTATTATCAATGATATAAGTATTGCACATTTTCGCGCCATGTTTTACTTCCGGTTGGTCGGTTGAACATTCTTACTGACTACCACGAAGAACTTATCTGGTATATCAAACAAACGAACCCAGGGGCAAAAATAGGAATCCCTTCTTTTGCTTTCGAAATATGACAATATTTGGTGGTAAATAGTAATTGTTAGAGGTTACTATCCAGCGCATTCCTTTTAAAGTGTTTCTGTTTTTTTTTCAGATCATATTTGTCGTCTCTGTACTAATAGTACTGATTTGTACAATAGTATCCATTTTAATAACTCACGAAGAATTCGACATACCACTGGAAGACGTTCATTGGGAAGAATATTTCGAAAACGACAATGGTGATTTTAAAAACGTTGTAAAAACGTTACGACTTTATAAGGCAGGGAACATATCTCGTAAAGATTTTGCCGATTACAACGTCACAGAGGAGCTAATTGATAGACTCTATGGTGTGCGACGTGTTAAACCAATATTCGACAATATATTGCACTTTTGTACGGGGTATTTTACCCTTGAACAAATTGCAAGACTTTGCTTCTGTCCCAGTTACATTAGATATTTTTTTTCTATTTTGAACTTGGTGGATATTGTTACGTTATTTGTCGACTATGTAGAGATACTCATCAATGCGTTGCATCCTCAGCAAATATACGAAAGCAACATTTTGGATATAATTCAATTTCTGCAAATACTGAGAGTACTCAGACTGTTTCGGATAACCAAACACATTCCAGGCGCCCGAGTTTTAATCTTCACTATAAAGAATTCTGTCAGAGAGCTTCTCTTCATGATAGTGTTGTTAGTAAATGTCGCCATATTGTTTGGAACTTTGTTCTACTGCTTGGATAAAGAAGCTGCGAAAAACATATCTCAAGGAACTTGGTGGGCAGTCATCACCATGACGACAGTAGGGTATGGGGATGTGGTGCCTAGTGGAATTTTGGGTAGAATTCTTGGAGGGGCTTGTGCTGCATTTGGTATTGTACTAATTGCTTTAACGGTTCCGTTGTTTGTGAATAACTTTTTAACCGTCTATAATGTATCCATTTCTCATGAAATTCTGAACTCAGACGAGAAGCCAGGGACACCATGGATTAAGGCAAAAGAACCCCAAGAAATATGCTAGTGGATGTCTTTCTCCTTTTCTGATTATTATTATTTATCTATATCTAAGTGATTTGTAACTGACATCATCAATATTGGTGGATGGAGATTGCCCAGTCCAGCAAAGGCTTTCAGACGATGATGTGAGATAGAATGGATTTGTGATTTTTCCATTTGCCCAATGTCCCGAAAACTTAGCAACAAAACTGGTGCAAATAATTACCAAAAGTGGCTAAATTATGACCTAATGTATAAACAATATCGATTGTCCTTATCTAATCGAGCGATGAAATGCTTATTTTGTTCATATTTGAAGAACATGGTGCAATAGTGCCAAAAATAATACTGGTTAAGTGTCGTGGGGATCTGGACCGTTGATGTAGTCTTGATTGACCAAACTTGACGAAAAACACCTGTCCAAAAGAAGATTTATATTATTGACAGAGGAAATGGAGCTAAATAATTCGATGATAATATTTCGACTTTTAAGGTTATTAAACCGTGATCTTCATTTTTGAGAGCAGACGATATGTGTATCGGGAACACTACTAGTATTGAATAGCAGCATTCAATCCGGCGGATTAATATATAAGCGTTTTATGACGTTACTATCGCAAAGGGCCCTATATGTATCATATTATATCAGCGTCCCCGATAGACTGCACGTAAAACGTTAAAAAGCTTCTTTACACTCCCTTTAATATTGAGTACTTGATGTTAGCAAACCTGAACCTATACATTCAAAATCAAAAGACATCCGTTCTTTCTCAAAACAATCACAGAAGCTATGACAAATAATGTGATAACGAAAGTCAAAATGAGACTAAGTCACGAATCGAAATTCGTGTGGGTGAATCAAAAATAAAATAGGAAATATTTCACTTTTAGTTTCGTTTTTGAAAACCATGTCAGAATAGTGATCGTCAAACCAACAATATGTTAGAGGCAAAGATCTTTCAATCGGCTCTTATAGTTTTAGTGACAGGTAGGAAACAAATAATTTTATAATATGTTACATGACCTTAATCTTTATTCAACCTTAGTTAAAGGGAAGGTGCACTCTAAAATGGTTTATGTATTAAGGTATAATACTTTGTGTGCATAGAAAAGTGTTTATTCATTATAAAATAAAACCCCATGCTGTAGGCTGTGCATGTGAAAGGTCCTTCGAAAGATTGGAATCGAAACTGAGTAGGCTGTAGTTGCTGTCCTGAAGAATTTTTCTCATTGCACACTACATGGACTTGTCCGTCATAAGCAAGTACAGTCGTTTGAGTGGGATAATAAACCCAGGCCCGCGCGTACGTTAAGGTTTCTCTCTAGTTCGAAATCGAAAATGAGTAGGCTATTGTAGCTTTCCCTCATTGTACACTACATGGCGTTGTTCATTTCAATTCAAATACACGAAGGTGCAAAATGATGTAATCGTGTTATTTACATATGTTTCTATTTGAGATTGGTTATCTTGGGCGTAAATAGGGAGAAGGCTCTTTAGGTCTGAACAGAAGCTACTCAACTCAACTCAATTCTGGACAGCGGCATAAGATAGCTTTTGGCGATTTTCAAATTTACGTGTATAGCCCTAAGAACCCCACACAGTCACATCAGATCTGTACTACTGTCAAGATGAACCAAGTTATAAAAAATTAGAATTAATATTTTAAAACCACTCCCACCGTATTGTAATATATTATTACTGCATATAAAACTGCATTACTATTTTCGTAACGTTCAAGCTATGATCAATAATGTATTTTTTTTAACGGAAATTCCAAGAAAATGTTACTGCCTAGAGCATAATCAATATGTGCAATTTTAAGTTAATGTGCTAAAATTTCGTGGAATTTCCGTTAGTATAATATACGTGAGTCACGAAGGTGTGAATACGTTTTATCCTAGTTAATATTTACCTTGAGACTTATCGTTAATCTTGGGTTTTTTCCTTTGCATTGAGTGCGCGAATCACTGAATCTTTACTTTCGATGTTTTATCAATGGTTTGTTGCACCTATGTGAAGTGAATAATTTGTCAATTTCTTTATGTCCATAGTCCAATAATTCTGATATACACAGAAGCTTTGAATGACATATGCCAACCTATGTGAGTGGACTACGTTATCGTCAACAATGGACTAAGTTAAGCTATGTTTTCAAAAACAAGTGTACTATTTTCAACAGGTGAACTCAGTTTTACTATGTTATCATCAACAATTGAACCCAGTTTTACTATGCTATCATCAACAAGTGAACTCAGTTTAGCTATGTTATCATAAACAAGTGAACTCAGTTTAGCTATGTTATCATAAACAAGTGAACTCAGTTTAGCTATCATTAACAAGTGGAAATGGTTAAAATATGTTGTCATCATAAAATGAACTAAGTTAAACTTCGCTATCATCCACAAATGGATCCACAAACTACGTTATCACAAGTAAGTCGGCTTAGTTAAATCATAATAAGATCAACAAGTGGGTCAACAAGTAGACTAAGTTCTATAATTAGATCTACATGTGGATCAACAAGTAGATTAGTTCTGTAATAAGATCAACAAGTGGATCGACGAGTAGGTTAGTTCTATAATATTATCAACAAGTAGGTCAACAAGTAGATTAGTTTTATAATTAGATCAACAAGTGGGTCAAAAAGTAGTTATAATAAGATCAACAAATTGGTCAACAAGTAGACTAAGTTATAATTAGACCAACAAGTGGGTCAGCAAGTAGATTAGGTTGTATAATTCGATCAACAAGTGGGTTAACAAGTAGACTTAGTTCTATAATTAGATCAACAAGTAGACCCCTTGTTCAGCTTATAAAAATGTAAAATCCGTGTAATGGAGTGAGAGAAGTTGGTATAAAATACCATATATAAGTGTATCCGTGCATATAAGGTCGCTGTGACCTGATAATCGTAGAAACATGTTCTCTTAGCAACAAACAACAAACAAATACAACAATTTTTTTTAATGGGTTTGCTAAATCTGAAAAACCCTATATTCAAAAATTAACTACCTACACACGAGGGAAATTTAAAAAAAAAAACTTCTATGTCAAGTAACTTTGACCTTCATCGACATTTTTTTTTTCATTTTTCAGCGATATATGACAAAAATGCAAATTTTGCAAAACATGTTGAAATCTTTCGACTGTAATTCTAACTTCTCATGTCAATGTGATTTTCATAACAGGAATGTACTATCTATTCTCTTTTATAACTCTGAAAAGTGTCCTTTTTATGCAAAAATTATTTTTTTACAATTATAAAGCGATATAAATAGTGTACATTACCCAAGACCTACTTGTAATTACTATGGCGGAAGCTTCAACAAAAGCCCCACCCTATGTACAGATAGACTGGAAAACAAAATATGAGCCATTCCTTTAAAAACAGTTTAAATTATTTCCATTCTTTCACCAAGTTGTCTCCAAAAAAGGTTGTCGGATGCGTGATTTTCGTCCCATATAAGATAATCACCAGTCCGAATTAATTTATGTATGATCTTGGTCACATTCAGAGAACAAATTTCTTCTAAAACGATCACAATGAGAGCATTACTGTCACCATGTTCAATAAGAGATCTTTCTAATGCCATATGGGCTTCAAATTCACACAGATTATCATGAGAATAGGCATTTGATAAACATAAAATAACACGTTTGCTGTTATCTATTCTATCCAAACAGTCTCCTAAAACCATCGTCCCTGGCATGCCGTCTCGATGTGGAAAGTAAACTTTGAGTCCTTTACTTTCAAGTTCCATAATAATTTTGTAATAAACCGTATTGAAATTAGCATGAGCCGAACTAATATAAACGTCGTGGGTATACACCGTTCCTCTGTTTGTCGAACACTTGCGACGGTTAAAATTCAGAAAGTAAAGCGTGTAACGTAATCGCCAGCGATAACGGTACACGACCGTCATGATTAATATTAACGACAACGCCGCAATACAGGTGCATTTAATTATTTTAGAGGTTTCCTTTCTCAATAAACAAGATTTTTTGTTAATCTTAAACTGGCTTATTAACTTCCGTCTAATTTTTGAACATTCATACTCTGTTGGATAACAATCCATTTTATGCTTATTTTTGTTAGTAAATTCAATAAACCACAACAAGTCACAATTACAAACAAATGGATTATAAGCAACATTGATGAAATCTAGATGATATGTAAAACTTGGTGGAAAATCCTGTTCTGTGATGGTAGTTAATCTATTACCATTCAAGTAGAGTGTTTTTAATTCTATCAATGGATTAAAATAACCGTTTGGAATGAAATCTATTGCGTTATCGGTAACATGAAGAGATTGAAGTTTGAGTAAATTGTTAGGGATAGCTTCGGGTAAAAATAGAATTCCACTGTAACTTATATCCAGATATATGAGGTTGGACACATTTCGTAACAGATAATCCCATAGAGTGTTATTCAACATTGGCATCCAGTTACCGGAAAGGTCTAGCTTTACAAGTCCTCGGCACAATTGCAAGATCGTTGCTGTGTCAACCTGTTCCGAAGTGAACTCCAAATCGTTGAAACGAATATATACTCTTTCAAGAGAAGAACTATTGAATGCATACGGCTCAAGATAGCGTAAACTGTCCGTTCTCTCTAAGGTTAATCTTTGTAAGGATTTAAACCCAGCAAAACTATTCGTCGAAACACGCCGGATTTTCGTAGCTGAAATATTTAACAGTTCCAGTTTATCCAAACAGTCCAAGCGATCAGTATGTAAATCGTGTATACAGTTGTCGTCGAGAAAAAGCCAAGTTAAATTAGGAAATTTAGTTCCATTCTTACAGCAATGAGGGATTCCAGTTAACTCGTTCGATGACAAACTGAAACTTTCCAGACTTTCAGAGTGTTCTATAAGGATATGGCGAATGGAATTAAACGAAAGGTCCAAATATTTTAGCTTCTTCAAGGATTGAAAAACGTCGGTAGTGGAAACTTTCCTGATGCTGTTATTTTTAACAGAGAAAGTCGAAAGGCGTGTATTGTTCAAATGTGGCATTGAAAGATATGGAAGTTCCTTCAATTGCAACCCTTCCAGTATCAAATGTTCGAGCTGGGTTGAAATTCCACTAGTAAGATTTTCAATAGCTATATTAGAGATATGATTGACACTTACATTAAGAATCTTTAAAACTGTAAAATTTGACAGTGAACCGTTTTCTATGTATGAAATATTGTTTTTAGAAATATCTAAACTTTTTAAACTTTTAGATAAAGTAGATATATTAGTTAAACTATCTTGATCTAAATTCTTTAAACTGTTTCCGCTCATATTCAGTGTCTTAGTTTCCAGTGGAACAATGGGAAAGAAAGTAAGGTTTCGTCTTGAACAGTCTGTAAATGTTCCATCTGAAGAGCAGAGACACACAGATTGATTGGTGGTGCTGTTCACACATGGTACTCGACTTGGTTCGTTTCCGTTTGTTAGCTCGTTTCCATTTCTTGACACGCCAAATTTGTTAGCTATTGATACGTCATGTCTGTTTGCGTATCTCTTTAACACTTTGGGCAATCTTTTAATACGATTCGAACCGGCGGTATCGTTCACGTGCGACCGTACAGATTGTTTGAAATTAACTCCACTTACTTCAAATACAATGAATGCAGATATAAATCCGATCACACAAATAACATGCATATTTGGATGTTTATTCGAATCGACGTTCACTTGAGCGACAGCTCTCTATATCTAACATGGATGACTCAACCTGTATTCACAAGTATTAGTCAAGAGTACTGTCATAGTTTGAAGTCTAGTTTTACTTGTGAGAAATACAACGTTACGGTCATGTTTTGTTTCCGTTCTGATGTTGTGCCTTATTGTGTGACTTTGCGGAAATGTCTGTTGTCGAGATGTTTCCTTCTTTTTCATTTCGTTTACACATGGCACACAACTTCAACTGTAATAGACGCGGCTGTCCTTTAACTCCTATATTTCTTACTTTTTGGCGAGGCACTTAATGAATATTAATTGAAACATTTTTGCAAAGCTGTATTTGCACATTAACAGATGGGCAAAAAGTGGAAAATTGGCCCTACTTCTGGTTTAAACGCGAGATTGATTTTAACTTCCGGTTGACCCACTCCCGGTTTAATCGATAAATGTCAACGAAATTATGCTGATAGGTAGCCATCGTTAATTTACAGTCGACATGAAACAACATAAAAATAAATTTTGGTTGTGCATTTTGTGCAATTTTGTCAAAGTTTATAAGGTCAGAGGTTATTGACATCTACCGATGCTTTCAAATAATGTTCAGCGTCTACTTCCGGTTTCAAAACATTCTAAAAAGCAACAATTTATATATTTTGACATCTCTGGCACATAACCTAACACATTCGTTTGGCTGCAGAGCTTATTTTTGGACCGATTTACCTTCGGTTTTTTGTTTGTTATTGTATGACAAATGAAATTTTTGAATCGGCCGCTTATCGTCGGATCGATATGAAATTTAAATGATATTGACAGACTGACAAAACGAATAAAACAACATCATTAATAGTTTTGAAACACTTCCAGTTTGGGCGCGAGAATTTTCGGTTTCTCAAATTCACATCATGTGACCCTGCCCGGTGTAAATAATTTTTTTACAAAAACTATACAGTTTATCGGAGAAGAAAAAATCAAAACCGGAAGTGATGCATGCGCCGTAACGCACTTTCGTTAGTACGCCATTTTTTATACGTTTTATATGATTTTTGTGTCTAACAAAACTTCGTAGCTTTATCTAATACTGGGTCATATTTTGAATTTGATTTGTTTTGAAAAGTCTTAATATTGTGACCTTGACCTTCAGTGACCTTAAAGTGTTTGGTGTAGAATGTCCCTGATGTCAGCTATCTATAGATATTTTTAGTATTGGTTCAAAATCATAAAGTTTTGGTTTTAAAATATCAGAATATTGACATTTTGCCACTTTGGACGGCTGTAACACATTCTTTGATAAATATAGGGACTTGATTTTTTCAGATTCCTAGCACGATTGGTTCTCTTTCCAACAATATACATGTATAAAATATTGTAAAAAATATTGAAATTTAAGACTCAAATCCTCACTTCTTTTATTTATCCCACGTCATGTGGTTTTCATAATCAGAATATACTCTTAATTCTCTTTAAAATTGAGCTTGGACGGTAGCTATCCAGCTCATGCCTGTACTTAATATAATTTCACGTGGGCTTATAAAAAGTTGACTATTTATAAATATCATCAACATGTGGATTAAGTTAGGCTATGATGTCACCCACTTGTGAACTTAGACTATGGTATCATCAACTACTGGACTTAGTCAAGCTATAATATCATCAACAAGAGGACTTAGTTAAGCTATGATATCATCAACAAGTGGACTTAGTTAACCTATGATATCATCAACAAGTGGTCTTAGTTAAGCTATAATATCATCAACAAGAGGACTTAGTTAAGCTATGATATTATCAACAAGTGGATTTAGTTAAGTTATGATATCATCAACAAGTGGTCTTAGTTAAGCTATGATATAATCAACAAGAGGGGTTAGTGCATAATTTCACTGACACTAGATTATCGTCATAATGTTGAATAAGTGCATCCGTGTATTTATGGTCGCTGTGACACACATAAACCAATAAAACTATTAGAAAACGTCTTCCTGCATATTTTCAGGGAGGTGTCAATAAAGTCCTTCATTTGAAATTTAACCACCATTTCCAAATCTAACAGTTCTGCCGTCGGCATGAGAGTATCTCTAGTCAATTGATATTTAAGAAATTGTGGAAGTTATTGTAAAGCGGTTTTCTAATTTTTTCTGTGTAATCGGGGCACTGATAGCACCAATTTTCACTAAGGATTTTTCAATTAAACGTCTGTGGTTCCTGCAACTCCACTTAAACAAGGTGTTTGATGCGCATTATAACATAAAGATTAGTGACGTCACTAAACATTTAGTTTTAGTGTAGGAACCACAGACGTCTGACTAAATGGTGCAAATTGATGCTATCGGTGAACCTATAGGATAGCCTAGAAGGGCATGTATAATCTAGTTTATAAAGAAAGGTTGGGATTTTTATCTTCATTTTATGAATTATTACACAATGTTTAGAAAGGAGCACTCTGTTTTTTTTCTAGGACATTTTTTTGATCTTATTCATGAAAACTATACAACAAAATCTAAAGGAACGTATATATGAAAGCTTTAGCTTAAATATTCCAGCCGATAATTTTTACGTAAACTTTATCAGTTCATTAAGCTTTTTGGCAGGTGTAACAAAATATTCTAGCCGATAATTTTTTTAACGTCAAAACTGTTACGTAAACTTTTTAAGTTCGTTAAGCTTTTTGGTAGGTGAAACAAAACTGCAGAAATACATCCCCTACGTATTCTGAAGAATTCAACTAATAATATCGAGCCATTATAATGCCAAACACCAAATTTGAAAAATATTTTTAGGGTGAATTTATGACGTTAGTGATTATGAAAATTTTGCATACCGCACCTTTAAGTCGACCTGGTTACGTACTGATAACATGAGATTTATCTGGAATACCACTTATAGAGGGTTAAATTAGATTGACTAAACGACAACAGGAAAACCAATTATTAGCTGTTGTGAATCACATCTATATCATACTATTTTTTACGAAAGATAAAGTGGTTTGTCTGGTTTGAATGATATCAAAATTAAGGGCGGTTGTAAGTCAAAGGGCTGATATTAAGTGGTGTATTTGGGCCATTGAGCATGGTGCCCCTTCGAAACAGAAGAAGTGAAAAATTGTTTCTACTTTCACTGCCAAAGTCGCGTTAGATGCATTCTTAGAAAATTTTCCAGGGGAGGCCCTTTACTCCCCAGCGCGACAACTAACTTCTAAAATATAAAAGGGGAGTCGAGGTTCTCGGTGGATGAATACACGATTCAAACAGCTATACATTGTTTTAAAATCTCGCGCATTTAATTTGCCATGTATCTTATCGTATATAAACATCTCACAGTCTTACACTTGAGCTCTTTATGGTGCATGCCAAGTCGACATTTGGCGTGTCTTGTTCTAAAGTCTAATTGAGTCTTTGTCGTACAATGCTATACTCGTTACCAGCGTAATGACATGAAACGAATATGTACGTGCTACTATGTGACCAGGTATACTAATTAAATGGATACTGACACTATGCACTAACACAAGAGGGATCCTCTCGTGGAAAGCCTGTAACACACGGGGCATCGGCTTATTGTTCCACCCGAATTACTTTACACTTTCCAGTCTCTGATATCTCCATCACTGCCTTATGGAAACTGGATTGAAATCTCGTCCTCGAATTATGTCAAGATCGAATTGTGGACCGTTACTTTACTGTCCACGGATGTTTGTTAACGCAGCAATTTGATTGGATTGTACGGTTATCTGAGTAGTGGCGTGTTTACGGGGGGGGGGGGGGGGGGGGAGCCACCCTCCTTAGAGACGATGCTGGCCCGGCTTTGGTCCACCACTTTCAAATTTGTATCATTTCACACGAAACACACAAAGTGAAACTTAGTTAAGGAAGAATTGTATTAGTCTATTTCCCCTTTCATAATAACAAATGTATATTTTTGTCGTGTGTATGTGCATCATTTCTATCGGGATAGTCACACACTAGGCCTATTTAGATTTCAATAACAGAGACAAAAATAAAATTGCCACAAGTTACATGTAGTGAACCCGAGTTCAGATTTTCATTCATTAACATTATTGAAAATGACATGGTTGCCGTGCTGATAAGGCAGAGATTAGACTTTCTAAAGCTTATACTTATATGTCTTTTATCTCTTACATTTTAAAGGAACAGATGTCATTTTTTTTACCAATCGCACCTTGGTTTTTTAAGACACTGCAATATGTGGAAAAGACACCTATAGGAATAGGAAAAGAATTTTCTAGTTTGAGATATTTTCAAAGGAATTATGCGATTTTCTTTTCTTTTTGAAGACTATTTACAATCAACCTCCAAAATGGCGCATCTATCCCTTTAAGTAATCTTCACAGGAAGAAGCACTTTGAGATATCTAATAGATGACTTGAAGTTGTGTTATCGCTGATTTACTTGAATTTTCACTATGCCAAACTATTGCCAACTCTGTCTTGCACATTGATTTACAGCCATCTTTCTTGTATTACGTAATCAGGCCATTTTATTGGATTAGACACAAGTGAATACACCCAATCAAAGGCCTCGACTGTAAACATTTTGGCTTATTGTTTACAGACAAAGCCTGTTTTCGCTAGCGAACAATCCAATCAAATCGCTGCATTTACAAACTTCTGTGAAACAAGAAAAGTGGCTATTGCTGTCAAGACAAAGTCCGTAATAGCTTGATATCGTGAAGATGCTTTACTTGTTGCATTTATGAATATAACATATAACAGTTTTAAAAACAGTGTGTTGTGAAACTCATAGAACAAGGATTACTTCCTCTATTTCTGGAAGGTATTTCCCAAAGGAGGTTATTTTGAAATTGTTTGGGGGATAAACAGGCGCTTTGGACTCAAGCATAAAACTTTTGGACAGTTGAAATTGAAGTGGATCTATTCAGTCAGTCTACGTTCTCTGGCATGACAAGGATTGAAACGAAAACTTCAAAAATCACGAAATAATTTGAAAGTGAGTAATGCAATAGATCAAGGCTCTTGAAAGGGCTATTATAAAGGGAAAGTTTGAAAGTCACTGCTCTAGTCATAGTAAGTTAAAAGAATAAGTTAACCGTAAACTTGTTTTT